ATAAAGTTTTGTCTCACATACATGAGACATGTTGCTAAAAGTTGGTAGTCCTTGGAGAGGGACATCATGCTTAGGAAGGTCAGCAAAAGAGAGGAAGACACTCAACCAGATGAATTGAGAAAAGTGTGCTCAAGAAAAGGAGAGACTGGTTGTAAGGGTGACACAGTGACTACAGCAGTGGGCTCAAGTGTGTCAGGGATTGTGAGAATGACACAGGATAGGACAGGGTTCAGATTTGTTGTCTATCAAGCTGCTATGAGTCTTATTTACTGGCTGGCACCTAACAAAAACTGCAACAATGTTAGTTTCCATTACTTGTTCTAAAATTTTCCTTCACAAAGCAATCTGTGTGCGAGGAGTCTAGGTTAATTGGGCATGTTAAAAACATTTTCCTAGGTTTTTGATTGTTTAGCCAAGATATATACACATATTTTATATTAAATAAAATTCATCTTTGTGTGTGTGTGTGTGTGTGTGTGTGTGTGTGTGTGTGCGCACCACTGAATCAGATCTGACTGGCACAGGAGGAAATTGCCCCTCGTTCTCCAGCAGAGCATCTGGTGGATTTGAACCATGCACCTTTGGGATTGCAGGGAAACATTTCATTTTTTTTTAATATTATACTGGTTTGCTTAGAAAGTTTGTATACAGTGTATTTCACACTATACTTCATTCACATTGTGCTTCATACAATAATTACCATGTATTATTGTTGCTGTTATGTGCTGTCAGTCACCAGCAACTCATAGCAATCCTATGTACAATATCTCTGAAAACCTGCCCTAAACTGAGCCAGTCTCACTAACACATGTATCCCCACAACCCTGGTTACTGTGTCAGACCATCTCACCTGGAGTCCTCCTCTCCTGTGCTGTCCCTCGACCCTTTCAAGCATGATCTTTTAACAAGATAAGTCCCTTCTCATCACATGCTCATAGTATCTTGAGATGAAGCTTCAAAATCCTGGCTTCCAAGTAGAAATTTGGTTTTACCTTCTGAAAGACAGACCTGTTTGGTCTTTTGGCAGCCTATGATATGTTCAATACTCTTCTCCAGGAGCCACAGCTAAGAGGCATCCTGTCATTCTTAGTCATTGTCCAGCTCTCTGATGCATTGCAAGTAATTGTGAAGGCCATGGCCAAGTTCAGGCACATCTTAGTCTCTAGATTAACATCTTTTCTTCTGGAGGGGTCTCTGATCACAGACTTTCCCAGTGCAATTTCTCTTTTGATTTCCTGACTACAGGTGCCAAGAGTGTTAACTGGAGCTGAGTAAGCTGAAATCATGTTTTATAAAGTTAACTTAAACAAAACATGTTGTTGTTACTATTAGGTGCTGTTGAGTTGACTATGATTCATAGTGTCTCTATTAATGACAAGTCTAAACCTGTCTTATCCTGTACCATCCTCATGATTTCTGGCACACTTGAGCTCATTGTTAAGGTCATTGTGTCAATGCATCTCATTGAGGGTTTACCTTTCTTTGCTGACTTTTTGCTTCTATGATTATGATGTCCTTTCCCAAGGACTGGTCTCTCCTAGTGATATGCCCAAAGTATGTAAGACTAAATTTCACCATTCTTCTAAGGAACACCCAGGTAGAACCCTCTTTAAGAGATATTTGTTTGTTCTCTTAGAAGACCATGGTAGATTTAGTACTCTTTTCCATCAGCACAACTAGAAGACATTGGTTCTTTTAATGTCATCTTCATTCACTGTCCAATTTTCAGATTCATAAGAAATAATTGAAAAGATTATGGCTTGGTTCAGGCATATCTCATTCTTTAAACCGGCATCTATGCTCTATAGCACTTTCGAGAAACCCTTGACTGTAGACTTTCCAATACATTTTTTTTTTTTTAAATTTTTTTACTAGTTTTAATGAACATTTACAGAGATTTTGGATTTCAATTCATTCATTGTTGCACTTTTTTCTCTACCCACCTCCTTCCCACCCAGTTCTCTCCTCTCTTTGAAAAACAAAAGATAAACTTCTTCGTTGGTATACAATCCGCCCCCCCACCCCCCATTCCCTGTCCTGAATGCACTCCAGTATGCAACCTTAATTCTGGATTTCTGTGAAAATCATAATACCCTATCATATATCACTTTTATATGTCTTTTGATTTCTTGACTCCTGATACCAAAGCTGCTGACTGTAGTGTAGATCCAAGTAAGATGAGTCTTCGACCAATCCTGATGCTGTATTGTTCCTCACAAAGTCCATCTTCTCAGCATAGAGAATTAACAAATATGGAGACAGGATCAAATCCTGATACCATTCTTGATTTTGAATCATGCCATATTCCCTCTCTCTGTTCAAACAATTTCTTGGATTAGGTATAAGTTTCACATGAGTCCAAACAGGTTTTCTAGGATTTCCATTCTTCTCAATGTTAGCCACAATTTGTTGTGACACACACAGTCAAATGCCTGCATAGTCATCGAAATGCAAGTAGACATCCTTCTGTTACTTTCTGCTTTTAACTAAGATTGATCTGATATTGACAATGATATCCCTGGTATTTACAACCTTTTCTAAATCCAACCTGCTTCTCTGGCAGTTTTCTGTCAAAGTACTGTTCTAGCTATTTAAAAATAATCTTCACCAAGATTTTACTTGCATGTGATATTAATTATATAATTTGATAATCTCTGCATTGTATTAAATCATATCTTAATAAGAATGGAGACAAATATCAATTTCCTCCAGTCCATTGGCCAGGTAGCTCTCTCATGAATTTTTTGGCCCAGCCTTGTGAGCACACTAAAGGCTAAATCTATTTGTTGGAACATGTTAATAGGTATTCTATAGTTTCTGGAGCCTTACTTTTTGCCAATTCCTCAGTGCCTCTTCAGTGCTGGTTCAGGTGCTGACTGTGTAACAGACCATCAGTTTCTCATGTGCAAGTTCAAATTGAAACTGGAGAAAATCAAAACAAATCCACAAGAACCAAAATATGATCTAGAGCCTATCCTACTTGAATCTGAATACCATCTCAAGAATAGATTTGAGGCATTGAATGTTAATAATCGAAGGGCAGAGAAGTTGTGGAGTAACAGCATCACACATGAAGAAAGGGAAAGATCATTACCAAGACAGAGGTGAAAGGAAAAACCAAAATATATATTACAACAGGTTCAGAGAATTCCACTAGATTTTTAAGAGGTAAAAACACAAGGAAGAATTGTAAAACTGAAGGAGATAAACAAAAATTTCAAAAGGCAGCTCTAGAAGACAAAGCAAAGTATGATGAGAATATATGCAAAGAGCTGGAGTTAGAAAACAAAAAGGGAAGAATTCCCTATGTATTTCTCAAGATGAAAGAACTGAAAAAGCAAATTCAAGACTTAAGTTGAAATATCCTGAATGATCCAAGAAGCATCTAAAGATGAGACTAATGCACTGATTCAGTATATCAAAAAGAACTAGTGACACAGTATCATTTTGGGAAGTTGCAATGATAAAGGTAAAATAAAACATGATGGTTGCCATTTTAAGATGATGATTCTGCAGTAAAATTACTTCTAGCTAAGTTGTGTTTACAAATATTATCCACTAATGCAATTTTTAAAGTGGGCACTATCATTGGGCTACCTTGTGACAAACTATTCACACAATTTCTGCTGGTATGGTGTGGCTTATAATTATAAAAATCACAACAGGAAAGAAAAGAGGGGGAAATAAAAAGAAGGAGACTAAAGGGAAAAGCAGTATGCACTAGGAGCTTGCTTAAGCAGTATAATAAGTTAATTATATAAATAAATGTTAATTATCATCTATTAAAGGTTGTCTGGGAAAAAAAACCCAACAAACTCCAAAACTGCTGTTCAACATTTTCAATGAGTTTTTCATTTCTGTTTTTGTCCATTCCAGTTTTTCCTATATATTTGTTTATTTTTTGAGAATGTAATAGAATAAAATAATGAATATTAGAAACAATAATAAAATTAACAAAACCCACAGAACTCCTGCATATGGAATGTTTGTTACTGGTCTTGCCGTATGCGATGGGTTTCAAATATACAAAGAAATGATATCTTTATTCTTCTGAGATTCTTTATCCAGTATACTACCTAAGATATAGCAAATGTTCAACAAATACTTGTTAATATCTTCTTTAAATTTTTTTGCAAAAGATAGAGAAATATCTGCAACTGTCACCATATGTTATGAAGAAGCCTAGTGAACGTGTCATTTTCCTAATTGATAAATACACAACTAAATTCAGGTTTTCACTTGCCCAGCTCATTCTGCAACTCTTAGATATGACTTTCAAAAATTTTACCATAAAATAGTAATTTCCTACAGCTTTACTTTGCTTGGCTCCATAGTCAACAGTCTTGGCACCAGCAGCCAGGAAATTAAAAGGTGCATTGCCATGGGAAAGTCTGCTGTTAGGGACCTCTCCA